GATTAAAAAGGATCAAAGCAGGGAAATAATCGTCGAATATATTGTTTCGTCTTTTTAACAGGACGAAGATGATATAGAGAGAGAGACAAAATATATATGTAATACGTTCGTACGGAAAACGAACAAAATTTTCTTTATATTTTATATATATATACATATATATATATATATCCCTTCCGATATATATGATGGGTTATTTTCATCATTTTTTTGTTTTTTGTTTTTTAATTATCGTCGTTTTGTCGTCTCTATTTTCTTTCTATTTTTATTTCTATTTTTATTTTTATTTTCTTTTTTTTTTTTCTTTTTTTTTTGTTTTTTTTTTTTTTTTTCTTGTCGTCTACGATTTCTCTTCGTTTTCGACCACCAATGAGAGTTCTTGCTGCTTCATAGAAGTAAGAAGGTAGAAGAGAGAAGAGAAAATAATAAAATACATCGCCATGTTCTTCTAATTTGAAGGAGCATTTACTGTTAATCGAAGATGAAGATGATGAAGAAGATTATGAAGAAGAAGATGAAGAAGAAGATGAAGATGAAGATGAAGATGAAAAAGATGAAGATGAAGAAGATGAAGGAAAAGAAGAAGCATCATTGTTATATGTATATTCAATTTTTACAATAACGTAGAACGACGATAAGCCAACTCTTGATTTTCCACGAGATTTATATTATTTTACGAACTAATTGATTTCTTTTCTTTTCTCTCGTCGTTACACGTTTATACATAAATACAAAAATACATCCATACATACATACATACATACATATATACATACATGCATGCATGCATGCATATATAAATACATACATATTTACTATAGTCTTTTTTTTTTTTTTTTTTTTTTTTTTTTTTTTTTTTTTTTTTTTTTTTTTTTTTTTTTTTTTTTTTTTTTTTTTTTTTTTTCTCTCTATCGAACGAATTCTTCTATTCGTACGACATTTCTTCGATGAGCCTGCGAAAATTATTTTCCGTACGTAGAAAATTAAATGCGACTTCTTTTTATTTCGATGATCCTCTTGTTGTATATACAAAAAAAAAAAAAAAAAAAAAAAAGAAAAAAAAAAGAAAAAAAAAAGAAAAAAGGAAAAAAAAAATCTGGTGGATTCGATCAAAATTCTCCTCCGTCTATATTTGTATTGTATTTACATGTCTGATGGCGGAGGCGAGGGGCGGAGGGGAGTGGAGGGGAGGGGTAGGGGGCGAGTGTGGAGGTAGGGGTATTGGCCATTTTCCATGGAAAAAGAAAAAGAGAAATATGAGTCGAAAGAAGATATAATAAAAGCAATGTTAATAATAATAATGGGCGTTGACAACAAATACTTCTGCACGTTTTAAAAATGATAAATTTGAAGGATTATGAAATGATTGTGGAGATACAAAAAAAGAAAAACAAAAAAAAAACAAAAAATACTGAGCGTGTGATACAACTTATACTGTTAATAATTAATATGTGAGACTTTGTAATATGACATAGAGATTTACACTTTTACATGGGAAATACATAAATGCATAAACACACACACACACACACACACACACATATACATAGAAAGAGAGAGAAAGAGGGAGAGAATACATATACATACATGCACGCGCGACACACATACGGCGTGTCTCAGTCGATATTTCGTTCATCGAGACGATTTAAAATTATCGCTCGAAAAACGAATAATCAATATTCGACGATCGTGATTATTGTTATATATCTTTTCGTTTAGCCATTAATAAGTAATTTTGAATGGATAATCTCGCCAAATTGAAAAGGAAAAAAGAGAGAAGAGAAAGAAATTGAAAAATGATTAAGGATAATTAATAATAATATTAATTGTCCCTACGGTTTTATTATCTTCCATATTTATGTATACTAGTGAGGAATAACGTTCTCAATCGTTTGTTGTTAACTTTCATTATTTTTTTAATTCTTTTCTTCTTTTTTTTTTTCTTCTTTTTTTTTTTTTTTACTATTTATCTAATTCAAGTTTTCCTTATATACATACATATATATATATATATATATATGTGTGTGTGTGTGTGTGTGTGTGTATTATACTTTCAATCGAAATCTCGCGTTTTGGTGTACCGGCAAGCCTGTGTGGTAAAAAAGAAAAAAAAGGAAAAGAAAAAAAAAAGAAAAAAAGAAAAAAAAGGAACAAAAAAAAAAAGAAAAAAGAAAAATATCGATCGATCGATCACGACATTTAAAACATTCTATATTATATATCGTATATATAATGATAATGATATTAACGATGGAACGTTTTTCTCGTGACCTCTCTTAAATTTACTTACCTTTTTTCTTTTTCACAATACGCGGCGAATTATTTCTTCATCCGCCTAGGCGGCGGGAAGGGAAGTCAAAAAAAAGAAAGAAAGAAAGAAAGAAAAAAGAAAAAAAGAAATTAAAAAGAACAAACAAAGAGAAAGGAGGGGAGAAAAAATTAAGAACGAAAGAATGAAAGAAAGCAACAGAATGAAAAAGAAAATGTAATGAGGCAATTACTCTTAGGCATATTTGGAAAATGTTTAGATTGAAGAAAGAATGAAAGAGGAAAAAAAAAAAAAAAGAAAATTATTTACGACGACGATGATGATGATGATGATGATAACGATGATGATGATGATGATGATGATGATGATGATGTTGCATACATGCATGCATGCGTTTGGTTGATGCGAAATAAGAAGCATTATTAATTATATAAAAGCGTATAATGCAGAAAAGAAATGAAAGAAAAGAATAAAAAAAAGAAAAAAAAAAGGGAAAAAAAAAATTAGTGTAATAAAATATAGGAATACCTCGGGAAAAAAACGTTTTTTATTTTTTTTTTTTTTTTCGAGGGTGGACGCGAAGAAGCCGCTCAAAAATTTTCTCTATGCCGATTAGAAATTTGACGATAATCCACATAGAACAGCGAGAGAGAGAGAGAGAGAGAGAGAGAGAGAGAGAAAGAGAGAGAAATTACATTCGGTTACTCGTTACTAATTAAATTGAGAAAAGAGTGAGAGACGACGAAGCATATACGGCCATATCGAATATATATATATATATATATATATATATATATATATATACATATATATATATATGTGTGTGTGTATGTATATATATATATATATATATACACAACTTGGTCGATAATTTTTCGTGAATACTAATTTGCGAGCGATTTCTTCCAAAGACATGATCTCATACGTTACATACATTTTTCGGACGCGCAGCGTGGTGTTGTTAATTAATTGCGAGGTCGGAGAAGAAGGGGTTCAATTAAAATAATAAAATTGCATTAAGAATGTGAATGAAAAATGATGTAAGAATGTGAGAAGAGCGAGAGAGAGCAAGAGAGAGAGAGAGAGAGAGAGAGAGAGAGAGAGAGAGAGAGAGAGAGAGAGAGAGAAAGATGGTACGTATGTGTGTGAGTTAAAAAATGAACGTATGTTGAAAAAATGAGAGAGAGAGAGAGAGATCAAAGAACAAAGAAATCTATTTAAATATATATATATATATATATATATATATATATATATGTGTGTGTGTGTGTGTGTGTGTGTGTGTGTGTGTGTGTGTGTGTGTATGTATATGAATATTCTAAATTATACGTTTTATATAATCGAAAAAAAAAAAAGAAATACATAAAGTAATAATGATCGACGATCGAAAATAATAAAAAAATGACTCGGAATAATAATAAGATTCGCGACTCTGCGCGTAACACCGAGTCGCGAAAATCAATCGTTTATTACATTCTGAATAATTAAAATTTATTCGGTTATCGAGAATGCGTTAAAAGTCGTGTTAGATATTAAGCATCGTAAGTGGAAAAGTGAGAATGAGAGAGAGAGAGAGAGAGAGAGAGAGAGAGAGAGAGAGAGAGAGAGCGAGCAATTGATAAGTCGAATTTTTTTCTCTTGTTTTATATTTTTTTTTTTTTTGTTTTTGAAAGTGAGAAATAAGAGATTTTTCGGTATAAAGTGATACAAATGAATAAATAAATAAATAAATAAATAAATAAATAATTAATTAATTAATTAATTAAATAATTAAATAAATAAATAAATAAATAAGTAAATAACTAAATATAAAAAGAAAAAAAAAAGGAAGAAGAAGAAGAGCGATGGAGGAGGATAAAAAGTGAAAAGAATTTAAAGAGAAGAAAAGGGATTGAAAGAAAGAAACAAACAAACAAATAACTAAATAAACAAATAAAATAAAATAAAATAAAATAAAATAAAATAAAATAAAATAAATAACAAATAAAACGCGAAGAGTCGTAGGAGTGTGGGTGTCTTACGCGAACGTATTATTATTCGTCAAAAGGAATCACTGATCCTATTTGTACCTACTTTTTAATAATATATTTTTTCAACGATTATTTATTTAAAACGTCGCCGTCGAACGTGACGCTCCGTACGTGTCTCACGATATAAATACATATATATATATATGTATATACATATAGATATATATGTGCGTATATATATATATATATATGATGATATAATAAAAAAGGGATGTTAAAAAAAAAAAGAGAGAGAGAAAGAGAGAGAGAGAGAGAGAAAAAAAATAATTAAAAACTCAGCGTGATAATACGAGAAAAGAACTCTGTTATGAGAGAAAGAAAGAAAGAAAGAAAGAAATAAAGATGAGAGAAAGAGAGAGTGAAATTATGAGGATTTTGAAATGAAGATTAAAGGAAAAAAGGAAAAGAAAAAAGAAAAAAACTAAGAAAAAGGAAGAAAAAAAAATGGAGAAAACCAGACACACTTGGTATTAAGTCCTTAGAATAGTAGCGCTTTATAGAACTGAATATAAGGATATAAACGAATTCTATCGTGAATGGGCGTAAAAATAATTTTTTTTTTTGTGTAGAATCCGCCGGGCGGAAGTTCCGGGACGATACGGCGCATCTCTTCGTCCCATCGTTCGTAATGTATGTAAATAAATACATAAATGCATATATATATATATATATATATATATATATATATATATATATATATA